AAAGAGTACAAGGTACTAGCAAAGCACACAGACAGCCCAAACGCCAGCCAGATGGGATGGTGGAACATACCATACCCACCAGAGAGAGAGAGAGAGAGAGAGAGAGAGAGAGAGAGGGGTCCGAATGTCATAGTTGTTGAGTTTGCCCATGTACACAGACAAACACTGCTCATCAAAGGCAATTTCCTCCAGGGTAAGCGCAAAGGCATCCAGCTCACTGGTTGACTTGAAGAGGGCAGCCTCTGCAGAGCCTGTGAGATGGGAAGCTTTCCCTTCAGTCATGTCATTGAGGATCTCCAAAATACCTGGCACTTGCACCCCAAAGCTGGTTGGTTTAGATCTTGTATTATACACTTACATATACACAATTGGACATCTATTGTAAAATGTTCAAAGCCAAGACACACCCATTGCCACGTGGAGCCCACTTTTCATCTCGTGCTGCGCAGGCTGACCCAAGCTCCATTTCCAGACCTGGATCTCCACGCTCCAATCGCTGCAAGAACCTTGGCTCAGCATGAGGGAGTGGAGAATCCAAGGTGTCGAGAAAATGGTTGAGAGGGGTGGCAAAAACCTGATTTCAGGACACCTCATCCAAGGGAGGAAAAAATACACCACACCTAATGTCAAGCAGCTTCTCTTGCAGAAAGGCAGAACATTTGGGACTTGGGCATGCAGCTCATCCACAATAGAGCCTCAATTTAGCAAGGCTAGAAAAGCATCTGACACACTCAAAGCTTACTCACCAAAGTACTCACCCCATAACATGATACCAAAGGATACAATCAGAACGCAGAAGCCAAGTGGCAAGCCAGGGCTGTGATCTCAGCCTTTTCCTCCAAGTGAGCCTTGGTCAGCTTCCTCCGCTGGTTCTGGGGCGTGTTCAGAAACTGGCTATGGACCATCTTGAACAACAGCTGGACTGACTCCTTTGTGTTTTTCAAGCGTGTAGCCCATTGGGAACTCTTGGATATCTTGCCTGTCTTGAAATTGAAACACACCAGCAGCTTCTTGGACCCAAGGCAATCATCCGTGTAGGGCCCCCCTGGGCTGGGATCAAGGGATTTGAACAGAAACCTAACCACCGTGTAGCAAGAAAAGGTTGCAATAATAGAAACAACAAGGCACCTTCCAACCATGAAGGGACACAGTTCCAAGAATGGTATTGCGCACAGCTTCAGGGAGCCCAAGGATAGTCTTCACAGCTTGCTGCTTGTGCCCCACAATGCGGTCATGTTTGGGGGCATCATCATTCCTTACACCACGGCAGGGAAGCATACTGTGGTCTTAAACCGGCATTTGGGGTACTCTCATGGGGTGAGTGCTGTATTGGACATGTTCTATTAAGAAAAACAGCAAGCTGGAACCAAGTTTCCATGCCTTGATCAAAGATGCTGAATCCGAACGGCCCCAAGCTGAAACATTCACCAGGCTGAAGACCCAAGAGATTGCACTGGGTGCTCTCCTTATCGCATCACTTGCACTTTTCTTCATGTTGAAGAACCTGGGCAAATATTTTGACAACCAGGTGGACCGCTTGTAACTTTGGAAAGACTAGGTGGCCCTAAAGTTCAAAGTGGCTGACATTACTGCAAGAGGGATAGCAATTCAGAAGTGGTTCAGCCAAAGGGGACCACAAAACAAACATTGAGAGCCACTATCAAGTCATGGAACAGTTCTGCCTGCCGGTCTCGCAGCCGGATGTGTTTGCACTTGATTCGCTGATCGATCCATCTTCAACCAAGCCAGCATCAGGAAGGTGGGAAGCCTGCAGGGCAGGCTAATATCATACAATCACCCAGTCAAAGGGGGAGATGCAACACATTCACCAAAGACTTGTCTTTTGGCAATTGAATTAGTGACATGTTGGGGAAAACAAATCCCACCTGCAAGCGAATCAGGACTGGTGACCCTGTGCTTTGAAAGCCAGCCATTCTTGTGGAAGTTGTAGACAAGCTTGATGGCAACATCTAGGGATGGTGGTTCCCGGAGTGAGCTTTCTGCTTCACATGAGAAGGCCCACAGGGGCAACAGAAAAGGATCTTGATCATCTTCCTGTCCTTGTGTTGCCCATATGCAAACATTGGTCAGCCATTTTAGTTATTTGCAATCAGTTTGCACTAAAACAATAAGGAAAGTAAGACATGGTCAAGAATCCAGACAAGCACACAGGCAAGGGGTACACATCCTTGTAGTCACAATCAGGGGGCTCCCCCAGCATGTTTTGCAAGACATGGCTAAGATCAGACACACGTTCAGCTCTGTGGGGGAACACCAAGTGCAAGTACTGCCGTGGACCACCAGCACCTTCCCAAACAAGCAATGAGGTAGAACAAAATACCAGAGACACATGCTTGACCTTTGCTTGACCCATTCAACAGAAATCACAAAATTGGAGAACTGTTTCTGAAACCAATGTGGGAACTCTCAATCACTTTGGCAACCTGGTCATACAAGTCATCAAAGACAGCATCTAGTGGCAACGTGGTGGATGACAAAGAGTCTGAAGGTGCTACCGTGGTGGCATCTTCCACTGCAGCAGAAGCGTCTACATCCAGGTGCCGCTCCTTGTCCTGAATCATTCTGATTGGGTGGCAAGTCTCCCAAATGGCACCCGAATAAAGATCTCATGTATGTATTTGCCCTCATTCCTGTGCCCTCATTCCTGTTTTACAACCTTGCAATAGGTTCAAGGTGAAAGTCAACACATGATATCAAAGTCCAAGGGTCTAGCTTCTCCAGATCAAGCCCAGGCAGATCAGGAACTTGTTCCATGGGAACCATGATCAAATGAGATACTTTGTGGGCCAAAATCTCTTGAAAGTCATATATCGAAAATCAAGACCAGTCCAACTCATAGGTCAGATTTTGAGGGGGTGACTTGCGCAGATTTCATTTGAAATCAGTCCATCTTCCTTTTGGCTACCACCTGCCAGTCCATCTAGGGGGTAGAATTTCTGAACCCTGAGATGGACTGGCACCCCTGACCTTCCTAGGACTTGGACTGATTTCAAATGAAATCATGCCAAGTCCACCCCTAGAAATTGAACCCTGAGATGCGCTGATTTTCATTACCAGATTTTCACATGATTTGGGTACCCGACTTGCGTCGATTTCAGATGAAATCAGTCCAATTTCAATCCCCTAATCAAATGAAATTGAGACCCTGGTTTTTGAAAACCTCATTCCACTCCCCACGTGTTTCAAGGTTTGTTTTTTCTAAAGTGTTACGATTCTCACACAACAAGATCTCTGAGTTTGAAAACATGACTTTGGGGCATTGCCGAAGCAATGGCGGAGATCATATCAGGAGGATATGTCTGGGCTAGCGCAGACCGTTTTTTGCCTTCTTCAGACCCCTCAATCCTCTGGTGGGTATGTCCCCCAGGGCAACATTTCCCATTGAAGGCATTGAAGACCAGAGTTGAATTGGTCAAGATACAAGTCTTCTTCTTGAGATACTTCCCAGACGGCGCTCGCAAACCAAAGTAGCATTGCTCAAAGACAGCCTTCTGGACTCCAGGCTGATTGTAGAGGGATTTTACCTGGCAAACTCGCTTTCTACAGGGCCCCAAGGCTGTTTGCATATCCAAACAATATGGATGTGTGGTCTCCATACTTTCACAGATGCTCAAAACCAAAGTTGGTCGAGTTATCATATCTCATCATCTCTATGTGAGATACAGTAACAGGTCCCTTTCTTTGGAAACACACAGTTGGAAATGAAATCACAGTTGAAATCCACAATGGTTTCAGCTGTGTTGTCCTTGAGGGAACTTACCACTCCTTCAGTGCAACCCAAGTGACCGATTCCCTCTCCCACGCTAAGGATCCATGGGGGTGCTTGAAGATGAAGAAATGCACCAAGACTGTTTGGAGCAAGGCCAGCCATGAAATATAATCAATGAAAGTCAGGGCCTCCCCCAGGCACATCATGCGGCGGGTCTTGTTCTTGATCCGGTTCCAGTTGCTATGCTGTAAGCTACTCACCCATGTGCATGGTGGTGATAAGACCAGGAAGAGGGTAGTAAGAAGCAAGACATCTTGCATGGTTTGCCTTTGAAAGGCTTCTTGCGATAAATCCCACATATGTTTGATGTCAAAACTCCTCCTGGCACGCCCTCCCATTTCACGAACTGCTGGAGCGCATTGTGGGGCAGAGAACAACTCCCAAAGGTGACATCGTAGCATTGGGTCACTCACTTTTGAAGGGGTCCTCAAAATGTCCAGAAGGTCCATATAGGGGTTCTTGACCACTGATGGGATAGAAGCTGCAGCAGATTTCAATGAAGAATCATCACAGGGCAGCACATCACTTGCATCAGCCATTGGATCTCCTCCGTCCAGGAAGATATCCTGACCATCAACATCAGCTGGCAGCTCTATTCCATCGCCAGCCACAGGCACTTTTGAGCCGCTGGCCTTTTCTTGTGAGGTCGGGCCTCTCGCTTTTTGGAAGGAGCTGGCTTTGGAGCAATCAGTTTTGGTGGGTTTTCATCAAACCAATCACCAGGATCATCCTGCGGCAGTTCCACCATCGCTGCACTCAGGGGCAAGGCAGCAAGTTACCAGTCTATTAGAGGTCAATTTCAGCATAATATGACAACCTCTTTGGCAAATTGCTCAACGCGTGTTATCATTTGTTCAGCGCAAAGCCAGCTGTATTGGAGCAATTGTAAGCGATACAGCGATACATGTGTGCAGGTCACTGCTCCCCAAAACAGAAAGTAGAAGCAGCTAACAAGAACAAGTTCGATTCTATAGACTGCTTATGGTATGTACACAATGCGCAATCAATTTAGTGTAGTGTAGCCATTTTCACATCTTTCACCACTGGTGCGCACACAGAGTTTGTAAAGATTGCCACTGTCATCAAGTGTCATGATGACACAACGGTTGTAGGAAATCCCACAACCAAAACCCCAAGCAAATCCATCCAGCAATCTGTTTGTATCAGATTGTTGGGCCCCCAAAACTAGCCACTCAACGGTCCTAATGAATCAGGGCTTGAGAGCCCTTCCACGCACACGACCACGGTTCCTGCCAGGCACCACGTCTTGCGACTGCAGCCTGCTTGAGGAAGCTCGTGTTGAATGCCCGGGCCCATGGTTCTTCAAGAAAGTGTCCACTGCCTCACCCTCTGAGCCACATTTGACACACTCATTCCAATCACTCTCAAGACCATCGCGCCACAGGTCACTAGGCACACTCTCATAGAATTTGGATCGGCGAGTCTCAAAGACCATAGCTGCCTCTTCCCCTCCTGGTTTTTTCCTCTCTGCAAAGGTTGCACGGGTTGGCCATGCTACTTTCTCAGGGGGGGCACCTGATGGGGCGCCTGATGCACCAAACAGATCAACCGGTACAACTGCATCAATTGGAGGTACCACCTGGCTTCTTCTCTTAGACATAGGTCCAAAGATTTGCTCACCTTCCTTGGGCGCGATGGTCTCATCTTTCCTCTTCGGGGGTCTTCCCCTCTTCTTGGGCTGAGCTGGGTCTGCAAGAGGAGCGGAAGCCACAGTGACCCTGCGCACAGGCCCAGGAGCGAACTTCTCCCACTTTGTTGGCAAAGGATGCAACCAAGAGAAAACCAACCATTTAGTGAGCAGACAACATAATCTATTATTAAATGTTTATACATTTAGATTTACTCTTATCTTAGTACTTCCTTCCAACAAACATGAGAATACATGAAACATGGGTCAAGCCGTCTACATATGAGAAATGAATCAGAAGCAAAGGTGTTGTTTTTGCCTCAGTGAGAACCAAGACACCCTTCCGGTGTTGGCTGCACACAAAGATCCCGCACACGATCACTGAACCACCATTTGGGTTCTGGAACAGCTGGCCACACTTGCTTTTCAATTTGGTCCTTAAATGGGTGCTTGGTGTGACTCAATACTTTGTAATATTACAGTTTATAAAAGTTGTAAGTATTACAATGTATTGAGTCAAATTAAAGCAACAGTACTAATAACCTATACGATGCATAATGAAAACTTGTGGTCCATATTGGCCAGGTCTCCACCCACTCCCTCAATGCTTTAGCTGCCTTGCAAAAGCCAGGGTTCTTTCTCCACCACATCTGCTGTCCTCCGGAACCTGAGGTTTTGGCTGGCAAGCTCATGTGAAAAGTCCTCTCTTCATTAAAGGTTGAAGGCATTTTAATTTGCTATGTAATAAAACCAACACAAAAAGATTGAAATGATGTGGAATAAGTTGCTCTTTTTGCCCGGTCAGCAACCAAATTCCGAGGGAGTGCTTGCACCCCATGCTTGATCATTAATTCGCTACGTAATACAACCAACACAAAAAGATTGAAATGATGTGGAATAAGTTGCTCTTTTTGCCCGGTCATGAGGGAGTGCTTGCACCCCATGCTTGATCAAGCTTTGGAAGGAAGCAGGAAGCAAAGTCGTAGGGGATTGTGACAAGCTCTCAGAGTTGACGAGGTGCTTGACCAAAAGGATGCAATCATTTGGTAGGAACGGGTAGTTTTCCTCAAAGGAGTATAGGATTCACACCAAATGGACATCACCAACAAGTCCATTTACCAACTCCAGAAGAACCACTTGACAAACACACATTTGTCATTGAATTTAAGAAAACATACATACCACATTGTTCATTGTCTTCCAAGTTTCTTTCTCAATCTCCTTTGGCTGCCACGATTCTCCAGGCTTGTCATCATAGGTAGGCAAATCCTTGCAAGGCCATCCAACACTTACAAAGAATCAGGTAGCTTGAAAACCCAATTCAGGAGAAGTATATAACGCATAGAAATAGGTACATTTAAGCCTAGAACAAGGCACACTGCGACGGACAAACCTCCAGCAATGGTTAGCATCAGCCACATCATGCCCAGTGTGAACTAAACCGCCAATATCCAAGCTCCCTTGCATGAGCTCAACCTTCATCACCCTGTTCCGGATCGGTGTGAAGTGGTTCTTGATCACATCCACAAAGTCCTCACAACAGGAGACTATGAAGGATAGGAAACCAAGTAAGAAGGGCTACCTCACCTAACCCTAATCCTTAAAATTGTAATCCCAAAACACCCACCCCAGGCTCACAGCTCACCATCCTGAGGTGTTTCAATGCAGGACTGCTTCGTGAAGGTCGCTGCAGCTTGGCCCAGGCGCTGGTCAATTGGACCATGTGTGTGTCCCACTTGGCCGAACATATGGGTGATGCCCCTGAACCTTGGCAACCCACTTTAGTGGCTCGCAGAAGAAAACTTTGTTCAACTAGTGTTACAGACACCCCAAAAAATATTGCATCAGATTGAAAAAACAGTTGCTTCCAGATAGGGGGCCGATGGGAAATGATGCCCATTGCACTGAGCTTTGCCATGACTTGGTTTTTGCCTTCACGTACACAGTTGTCCGTCTGCAGGGTTGAAACCATTCCCTAAGCCACCCACTCCACAAGAAAGCATCACCCAGTGTACAGAAAATGTTTGGACATTACAGTTTTGGGGGGGCATATGTATAGATGCACGCTTTTTTGCGGCAACACATTGTTCCATCCGTTCGGAAGAGAGCGGCCCTGTTTCTGCAGCTCTTCCTCAACCCAGTCAATTGCCTTCATCACCAATGTGGCCTCACAAGAAGAGTCCTTGGCAATGTCAGGCTCTAGGATGACATAGCCCTCCAGAACCTGAGATCAGCAGTGCACAGCAGTCCCAGAAAGAATCTAGAACCAAAGAACGCCCTCTTGACAACAGTACACAGCAAACCAACAAGTCTTGGTTTAACATCAAAGAAACTCCCCGTGCAATGATTCCAAACAAATGCAGCTGGGGCCTCCAGCAGCTTGCCAGCTGCTTGGAGGAAGCAAGGTTCCTGGGGAACTTGGTCTTGCTCTGGTCTAAGCCGTCCAAATCAATCTTCAAGATATTGGAGCCCTCAGTTTCACTAAGCGTGTTCAGTCTGTTCTGAATCAGGCGGTATTGCTGGACATTCAGCAAATGGCTTTTCTGCGCTGCTTCCAGCTTGGACCGATCCTCACCACAAGTGGCCTTGCTGCATCGAGCACTGAACTCAGCACAAACGCTGCACCTCCAAGGGGATATGGATGTGCAGGTATTGAACCCACAGCTGATTTTATTTCATGCGCTTTGTCATTGTTATTATCACTCATATTGCCCTTTCACTCTTTATTTGCTAACACATATACCTCTGAAAAATTCTTAAAGCAACACCTTCCCAACTTTAGACACACTGGCCTTGCATGCTGAGATACAGTGCGCATCTTTAGGGTGCATTTCCACTGACCCTCATACAACCGGCGGAAACAAGAAGCCTTGGCAACATCATCCTCTGGAAGTCCTTGGCCACTTGCCCACATGGTGTAGATCTGGTAAAAGGCTTCAACCGTCATGCGGTTAATATATCTCGCAGCCAAGCCTTGCAGCGTGGGAAATATGGATCTTGAACAACAACACTTGTTTACAGGGGTGAAGTTTTTTGGAGAAAACACATGGTCATACATACTATTTAATCCAAACTCAGGAACATTTGGTGCCATCTGAATGTGTCAGACTCGTGCTCGCCAGTGGAGTATTCATTCCAGCCAAGGCAGCTTCTGAATACATGGGCTTGCCATCCAAGAAGGACCCAGGGAGCTCTGACTGCACATCACCTCAAGTATATAATTGGGAAGTCTTGAAGTCATGGTATGGGAGGGCATAAACTTAGTTTTGGAAAGAACATAGAACTATAAACTTCTTGGAGTATACCTCCAAGAAACTGGGCAGAGCAATGCCACTTGTACACATCGCTGCACCATGAAGTTCTTCTTCCGGAGGTGCTTCTGCCAAAGGCTCAGCCTTATTGTTTCAAATGTCATTGTTGGTAAGGTTTGTAAATGACCATATGATATCCGGTCACCTCCCTACATACAACAATAGGTTAGGGCCAGTTAGGGGAAATCTAGTTATGGCCACTGACAACTGGCCAGTTAGGGCCAGTGTTCTGCATAAAACTCATGAGTCCAAGTGACCACATTCCAATAGTAGTAAGTGAAAAAAGCATCCACACTAGGACTCTTGGACGCAGCACGCCCATTGTGCTTCCTCATGTCGGTTGGCAGCAAATGGGTTTCCAAGCTCTCAAGCAAACGAGTGACCTGGGCTGCAGTTGCACATCTTCAAAACATGTCCCAACAAGAAAAACAAAAGACACTCCAAACCCCAAACACAAAAACAAAAACATACAAAACATTCCCCAATTTCACTAAGACACTCGTTTCTCATTGATCCCAAGCAAGGCACAGAATCCCTGACGGCAAAGACTCACCCCACAAAGGGCCCAATCCAAAGAGACCTTGTCCTTCACCATGTCCTTAATGGCACATGGTCAAACAAGCCCATATTGATTTAAGGCTATTGATCCTATGCCTTGATTCAACCCCACTTGACATGGAGAGGAAACCATCCTAGTTAGAGGCTAACCTTTACAACAAGTGTCTTTCCTGGTCAGCTTTCCAAGAATGCCAAGGAGATAGCTGTTGGTCTCCTCCTGGTTGAGCTTCACCATCTGGCCGCGCATGTCCTCCAAGGTATCTTGGGATGGGCTATGGGCTGCGTACAGAAGAGGGCAGATATGGGCAGATTAAAGCAGCTTTAAAAACTGCAAAAACAAACTGGTTTCTGCAGTTTTGGTCCAGCCAGGCCTCAATACTTTTCACACTGCTTTCGCTTTTTTGGAAACCACTGACACACATCTTGGCGCAGCATTTGAACCTTTTTTCTGCTGAAGACCTCAGACTGGAGGACCATGACCAGACCAAAAACAGATAGTGAGAGCGCAAACAAAACCATATTGGAATCAAATGCTTGGAGTCAAAATCAAAACCACAAATAGTGGTCCAAAACTTGCTTGGAATCACATCAGAGATACCCATCAACTGATTCCATCCGCTTGCGTGTCGGCGTTTTCAAATCAGGCTGAGGCAGGTGAGTCAAGCGCAGGTGGTCTTGGAACCCACCAATTTCTGGCCCATGATCATCTGGTGGCAGGTCCATGGCCGGCCACAAAAGAAGTGAGTCAGCCAACAAGCACAAAACCAGAGCAATCATTTAAGAGTGTACATGTTTGATACTTTCTGCACTGTGCATATGTACCAAGCTGGTTGTCTCTACTTTGCACATTCGGTGGCTACACTGCAGAAGAGCCAAGTAAAAATGTCCAACCATTTTGACCCCCATGGCATGGGAAGAAGAACAGACTAGTTCTCCAGATTGACCCTCGGTGGTGACTTCACCCATGGCCAAGCCCATGAGCCATGCGTCCAACATCATCCAACCGAGTTAAAGAGATGACATAACTCTAAACTAGAAATTCACTGCGCATATTTATCAGATCCATACCTTGATGCGCATTTCTCGCATGGCCGTTCCACTTAGGTGGGTCTACCAGTCAGCGTCTAAATTAGCCCAGCTGGAGACCCCAATAGCAAGATACGAACTGGGACAAAAAGAAAAATCTACCATCTCTTCCTTGGACACCTTCATCACATAACCGGGACACCACCACAACAGGACCGGGACACCATCAAAACATGACCGAGACACCGTCACAACATGATTGGGACACCATCACAACATAACCGGGACACCATCACAAGGTGACCGGGACACCAGCATGACATGACGGGAACACCATCGCAACATGACCGGGACACTATCACAACATGACCAGGGCACCATCAAAACATGACCGAGACACCGTCACAACATGATTGGGGCACCATCACAACATAACCGGGGCACCATCACAAGGTGACCGGGGCACCAGCATGACATGACGGGGACACCATCACAACATGACCGGGACACTATCACAACATGACCGAGACACCGTCACATGACCCGGACACCATCAAAACATAACCGGCGCACC